TGCCAGTAACCATTTCCTTGGAAGAAAAAAGAGAAAATATTTTGTGGGTTGTCTACATTTCCCTTCCTAAATGAAGGCTGAGATGCTATGCATACTAATGCAGTCAAACTTGCATCATGCAGCTGAGCTACTATAACTCCACCTGCAATCAGTGGTCTCATTAAGTTTTCCACAATTACTGGAGAAATGAACACCAGAGTGACAATATATCTTACCTATTAAACACCCCGGGGACTAAGCTTGTGGGCCTGACTTGATAGGAAGATGCATCAATTATTGGGACCTGACTAAATGCTTCTTCAAGCAGAACTCCTGTTCCCCTGAAATGTCTTTGCAAGATGGAGAACCAGCCCTGACATTTCATGCAGAAACCCGTGGCTTTTTGTGTGATAAGATAAATGAATGTAGTTTTTTCTGCCACTTATGGAGTTGGGTTGAAGGAAACCAGATTGCAAGGGTTTGGTATGTTAGCTTCAGAAGGATTATCATTTTAATCATGGGTATTTTGTCTGAGAACATGAAGTTTGTTTTACTCCATCTCTTCAGGTATTTGTTGATTTTCCACCATTTTCTTCAAGGAGCTCAGCCTCCCCATTTTATCCTCACAACAGCCCTGTAAGGTAGGATAGGCTGAGAGGTAGTGACTGAGCCAAGGCCGTCCAGTGAGCTTCATGGTTGAGTGGGGATTTTAACCCTGGTCTCCCAGGTCCTAGTCTAACACTCTAACCACTATACCACACTGTACCCATCACCAGATAGTCACAGATGAGTGTGCACGTTCTAAAACCAATTCAAACTTTGATACAAAAGAAACATGGTACATATTAGCAGAGGACACACTACAAACTTCAGACTAAAATATTATGGGCAAAACAAAGATAATGGCATCTTCTGCAGATTTTAATATACAGGCAAGCCCATGTCTGAGGAGACAGTGCTTCAGATAACCTGGTCCTAAACTGTATAGAGAATGGAAGTCCATAACCAGCATAAGAACAGAAAAAGAGCCGACTGGATCAAGTCAATGGCCCATCTAGTCCAGCATCCTGTTTTCATCGTGGCCACCCAAATGCAAGAGTGCTCTTCCCTCCTGCGGTTTCCAGCAGCTGGTATTGAGAAGCATTTACTGCCTCCAGCTCTGCAGGTAGAGCATAGCCATCATGGCTAGGAACCACTGATAGACTTGATATCCATGAATGTGTCCAATTGTCTTTTAAAGCAGTCCATCACTGCCTCCTGTGGGAATGAGTTCCATAGTTCAACTATGAACTAGTTCCATAGTTCAACTAAAAGTTCATGGAGAACTTTTGTCTTTTAACTGTCCTGAATCTTCCAACATTCATTGGCCCCAACCCAACATTGAACTGGGTTCGAAAACAAATTGGCAGCCACTGCAACTGTTATAAAGAAGAAGTTATGGGCTCCCAATAACCAGCCATGGTATTCTGGACCAGGTGACATTTCCAAATACTATTCAAGGGCATCTTATAGCAGCCATGTTATCACCTCCCCAGAACATGGGACTGATGGATGACTTGTGGCAAGGCAAGGCAAGGACTGTGTGGAGATATCAAGCCTTCCATGTGGGCCTTGCTGCCAAAATGCCATACTTTGCACACCTGTGTTGGTCCTTTTATGTGCTGTCATATTTCCACATATCTCAGGGAGCACATGGAAAGCTCACAAACTATATGAACTGGCCCAGCTGAACCAAAAGCTTGCTGAAGGGGTCACCATCAGACTGACAGCATTGTCTCCATCGGATGTACACTCACTAATGAGAGTCTTTGGGACTCGCCCTACTTTCTTGATGATCAGGAACAGGAGCCTGGAAGTATATGCGTTAATTAGGATATTTTGCAAAAGCATGTTTTGCAAAATAGTTAACAATCTTCCCTATTCGTCTTTTACCAGGAAAGGTATTTCATCAAAGACAGGGGGAGGGAAAATCTCCTGCCGTGGATCCCACTGAAACCGGCAAAAAACATTTAAATCCCATTAACAACTCCCCTACCAGAGGGGAAGTAGACTTAATTGGGAGTCAACATACATTTTAAACCTCATGTTTTCTGAGTGGGGGGGGCCCGGAATCTTAGAACCCAAGAATGATTAACTGAAATCACACTCTACAGCACTATAAGGGGATAATTAAGTTGTAAATGTAGGCTTTATTTGCCAAATGAAAAACAATATTTTTTACTGTAGGCTTTCCCCACCCTCAGCATTGTCTGTCTAGATAAATATAATTAGGTAATGGATGATGGTTTGTTAGCATTTTATTACATGTGTTTGCAAGGGCATTAAGAATAATTATAAACCGCACAACAAATATTGTAGATGTCCAGATTTTCAGCTGTAGACTACGTGACTTTCTCTGATCAGAAAAAAAGACTGGGATATGCATTCTAAGAAATTAACTCTTCCCCTATTCAGAGCAAGAACTGAGATTCTTTTAGTTCAGCAGATTTACATACACTAATTGCTAATTCCTCATCATTCTTAATCACAGTAGTATTTTCCATGTTCATGGTAGCTGGCAGGCTTTGTCTCCTACAGGCACAGAATGGCCCTCTAAAATGGACCATAGTTGTGCCCATTTTAAAGATGGAGGAAATAGAGACCCGGAATCAAAGAATAGTCAAGACCACCCAGGGAATCCTTGGTTTGGTACAAGATGTGAACCCAGTTGGGTGAGGCACCTTGTTATGATGGATTCATTGACATTTTCCCAACAGGACTGCTCCATAACTGGACTACAAATAAATGGGAAATGACCTTGTTGAGACCTCCAAACCATTTTAAAAGGACAAGAATGGTAAGCAAGAAGGAAACAAAGGTAGCTACCTAATTCTCTGCTGACCTATCCAGTGAAAGAGGATGCACATCATGCTGCTGGGTCTACGGAGCCACTGTCACTTAGCCACCTGAGCTCCAGCAAATTTCCAGCAAGATCCCAAGATGTGGCACTCCCAGGAGGGCCCGCTTTCCCCCACCACAACCCCCAGGAAGAGCTGCACCCCAGTATCTATGAGAGTCCTATTTCTATTATCGCTGTTGTTTAGCTCAGGATCCCGTCCTATTAGTGAGCCTGGGGAACTGACTACAGTGGTGCCTCGCAAGACGAAAATAATCCGTTCCGCGAGTCTCTTCGTCTAGCGGTTTTTTCGTCTTGCGAAGCAACCCTATTAGCGGCTTAGCGGCTTAGCGGCTTAGAAAAAGGGGGGGGCAGAAAAAAATTGCAAGACTCGCAAGACGTTTTCGTCTTGCGAAGCAAGCCCATAGGGAAATTCGTCTTGCGAAGCGCATCGAAAAATGGAAAACCCTTTCGTCTAGCGGGTTTTTCGCCTTGCGAGGCATTCGTCTTGCGGGGCACCACTGTAGCAGGTCAGTGATCAAGGCTGCTGAGAAAGCAAGAAAGCTGTCTAGCTAAGGAAGGATGAGGTGTTGAATCGGCAACTTTTAGGCATTGAAGGAGCAGCTCTATAGCTGGCCAACACCATTTGGAGCACTGTTTAGGAAGGATATTGACAAGCTGGAATGTGGGTCTGAAAAGCAAGCCTTATGAGGAACAGTTGAGGGAACTGGGTGTGTTTAGCCTGGAGAAGAGAAGACTAAGTGGTGATATGATAGCCATCTTCAAATAGCTGAAGGACTGTCACTTAGAAGATGGAGCAAGCTTGTTTTCTGCTGCTCCAGAGGGAAAGACTTGCACCAATGGATTCAAATCACCAGAAAGGAGTTTTCAACTAAACATTAAGGAACAACTTGACAGTGGAAAGAGCTCCCTTAGAAGGTGGCAGACTCTCCTTCAATTGGAGATTTTTTTAACAGAGTTTGGTGGTCATCTGTCAAGGATTCTTTAGCTGTGATTCCGGCATCACAGGGGATTGGACGAGATGACCCTTAGGATCCCTTTCAACTCGAATTCTAGAGTTGGATTCTATGATTCTGTGAAAAAGTTTCACCTGATTTTGCTCTGTTCCGGATGTAAATGGCCTGGCAACCTGCAATGGGATTCAGCTGACATAGAAATGGAGAATAGCCACACACATCTACTTTGTGGTTGCCAGAAGGATAGCCCAGATCTCCTCAGAAGGGTGATGTTGGCTTTGATTGAAGCAGGAGTGCTCACAACATGGTATTCCACAGAACTCCTCCACTTGATAACTAATTTGGTGTATCCATCAATCTTGCAAATTGTTACAACAGCAGAAATGATCACATAAAAAGATGTTCTTTTTGTCATTATGGGTTTTATGTTAACATTTAAAGCAAGAGATAATGAAAATGAGTTTAGGATCATAGCAAATGCACAACACTGGCTATAGAAATATAGAAAAAAAAGGGGGCGAACTCAGCCAGTGTTTTTAAATATTGCGTATTTGAGGGGAAACATATGGAGTATAAAGGCCGTAAATCAATCATTAATTTGGATATATGACTTTACTAGCTTTGAAATTGAAGTCGGACTCAAACAGAATGCCAAGCTGCAGGAAGTTGAAAGTCTTCCATGTTCAATATTTTTAATAAGAACTGTAAATAATAGATCATTTTGGATTACAGTCTGTGATCACTTCCAAATTCTAATGGTATTTCATTTTAGTTATAGCCTGTCTTACAGCAATAGGCGAGAAAAGAAACCATCCTTACAGCATATACACATATCATTTTTAAGACCTAGAATAAAGTTCTGGAGCAAGTCCATTCATTTAATTTATGGATGCCTGATGGACCATTCTAGGAATATTGTAGAAGGTTTTCCCTTCATCAATTCATTCTTGATTGTTTGTCTTGTTTTTCAAGCATCTCGTGGGTTTGGAGCTTCTTTCAGAGGTCCCCATTTATTTGGGGTCACGTTCAAATTGCATGGTTTGCACCGTTTTCCCATCAATGAATGTGGAGCTGGATGCCAGCAGCTCAAGTCCAAGGGTGGACAAGTGCCATTGGGTGACAGGCAGCAATAAACATAATTAAAGCACAAGTCAGGCAGGTTGAAACTTGGTATAGACAATAGCTCAGTGGTCGAGTGTATGCTTCGCATACATAAGGTCCTGGGTTCAATCCCTGAGCACTTGCTGCCATTGCTCCAGCACAGGGGAATGCCATCTGCCATTTGTTCATCATTGTTGGAACACCTCCTTGCAGTGCCCTCTTGGTTTGCCACCCAGTGCAGGTGAACTGGTTGCGCTCCCCTAAATCTGCCTCCAACAGTAGTCTTGGCTGGATGTAAGTATTGCACACATGACCGAGGCTAGGTCTGCTTTCTCAAGCTAGGGTCTGCAGGACCTTGGAAAATCCTCAGGCAGCACAGATGTTAAGAACAGGAGCAAAGCCTTGTTGGATTAGACTGAAGGGCCATCTAGTCCAATGTCCTGATCTCAAAGAGGCCAACCAAAAGCCCATTGTGGGAAACCTGCAAGCAGGACATCAATGCAGTAACACTCTTCCCATTTGTGATTCCCGGCCAATGGCATTCCGAGGCATACTTTTTTCCGGCAGTGGAGGAACATCATGGCTGGTAGCCATGGATAGGGTTATCCTCCAATAATTTGTCTAATGTTGTTAAAGCCACAGCTCAGTCACTCTCTTAAACTCCAAAGTAGGACCAATAGCTGCCTTAACCCCACCTGTTAGCTGAAGTATTTCTTCCTAAGGGCTGTGCTCTTGCCTCTACTCCCCAGCTTCACCTACCCCCAGCCACAATGGTTGATGCGCAAAGGAGAAGTGGAAGGAGGATCACCAAATGCTTAGAACCTTTTTCATCTCATGCTCAGATGAGGATCAAATGCAGCTGCAGCCCTGGATTACAGGCCAGCTGACCACTTCTTCTGGCCTCCTTCCTGTGCTCCTCCTTTCAGATCAACTCTTCATCCTAATTGGCTGTATGGCAGAAGCAGTGGGTCGCCAAAGTGGCTGGGAAGATGGGATTGTGCCTAGTAGCAATGTCAGCCAGCCTGGGGATCATGATCCCAGAGGCAGGGGAACCAGGGAGCCAGTGGAGCTGAGAGGTGCTGTCCCCACCTGTTCTGACTGTCCCTCCATGGTTTGTCAGCCATCCAGCACCTCTAATCATGCTGTAGTTTGCAGCGCCACCTGCCTGTGGCCAAGCAAACTGCAGTGTGACAGCACACCTGCATCTTTATTATATGTATTAGGGGCTGCACTCCTGCTCCCTTTGCTTGCTAACCCCACCTACCCCCACAACCTCCCTCCCCAAAGCCACCCACCCCCACCATTTACTCCTTGTCAAAACCACTCACCCCATCCCTTTCCACCTTGCCAAGGCCACCAAGACCCCATACAGCTTGCCCAAACTACCCCACCCTGTTAGACCTTGCCAAACCCCGCCCACCTGCTCACTGCCACCTACCTACTTGGCCACTTTCCCACAAACTCACCTGCCTGTCTCCCTCTGCAGTTCCTTCTGCCTCACCCTTTGATGGTGCTGTGATGGCCCAGAAGCTCTGACAGCCCCATTTGTCATCATGCTGTAGTTCACAGCAGTTCCTGTCTGTGACTAAACAAATTCAGTGTGACAACATTCTTACATTTTTATTATATTTATAGCTAGACAGGTAGGTAAAAAGGGCATGTAACAAAGCTTACATATTGGTCTGCTGAACACCAAGGATAGTCAGTGAAGTGCCCTGCAGATGTTCCAGGACTGCAACTCCCATCGTCCATGACCATTGGCAATGCTGGCTTGGGGCTGACAAGAGTGTAGTCCAGCAACATCTGGAGGGCCCCATGTTGACTACCTCTCCTCTACACTGACTGGCAGTGGCTTTCCAGGATTTCTGACAAAGGCTTTTCCCAACCCAGGCTAGAAATGCTGGGGAATAAATGTGCCAGGAAAGGAATGCCTTCAGCATGGAAAATATGTCCTCTGCCACTAAGTCTTGGATTGGAGCCTCACACTCTGCTGACTCTGACCTCAAACAACCCCCTTAATGGTGTCCGGTGGAAGACGACATAATGCAACACACACACAGAACCTACCGTGTATTGTGTAATGGCCAGCCTGCTGCTAGTCATACATAAGGAGGAAAGTTTAAAAGAATTCACGTTTCAACTATTTTACGATAAAAACATTAGCAAAAGGATGAAAGCAATTCCTAATAACTTTTGGCAGTATAGGGATACCTTTTCCACATGGGATTGGGACTCAAAGTGCCCCTGCTTGGAAATAAGTCCCATGGATGTTCCCTTTGAGCAAACCAGCTCAGACCTGCAGTATTTAGCAATCTGGAAAGATGGAAGATAATTTGAAAGAACAAAAATATTTATGGCATAAACAATAACGGATACTATGCCATTCTACAGAGCATAATAGAGTTTTAATGTATTCCTGCTGTCGGCATTGTGTATCTGAGTGATAATTTTATGTGACAGTGTAATTAAATTGGAAAACAATTCCCATTTCCTATGTCTTTTATCTATTTATCATCATTTATTTCTTTACTTTCACCCTCCACCATAAATATTACTGTAAGAAGAGTTAAATAAGTTAAACCAATGCAATTACTTTTACAGATTGAAATTAACTTCATATATCAATTTATTCCAGTTTCCCTGCTATTTGCCCTGCATTTGTTGCAGTATATTTATGGTGTCACTGGGTGGTTTCCATGTTTGCATTCACTTTTTGACGAATGATCTGTGTGTTAAAAGCTGACATTTTAACAGTATTTTCAAACAATTTCATTCATTATCAAATAACCATTTATTATACTGTGGCAATTTCAAACCGTTTACTGGACTCCACTGCACATTGCTAAACAATGATTAATCAACCAGCAAGCAAATTTTAATGCTTATCACAGCAAATAGAGAAAGTAACATTAAATAGTGACTTGACTAGAGCTGGGTCTAAATTATTGTTATTTTATTTTATAATTATTTTTGATGAGTCATTCAGTGCAAGCTCCTTTACATATGCTTTTCAAAAAACCAAGCTAGATAAAGCATTAGGTTAAGCAAGGCCCCATCAGACTCAAGGCTCTGTTCTACTGCATTTATCTGAACGCTCTCTGTGTGGAAAGCGAGACTTAAGTCTACACCTTGCCTTCAACACCTTCAGATGTTTTATATACGCTTCAACAGTCCCAATTAACTATGGATTGTCCTTTGTTTTCTGTCCTGGATAAACCACAGTTGTGGGTTTCTGTGTAGGAGACAGAAAGAAAGAAAGAAAGAAAGAAGGAAAGAAGGAAAGAAGGAAAGAAAGAAAGAAAGAAAGAAAGAAAGAAAGAAAGATGCTGGGGGTTCAGCACCCTATACACACACACACACACACACACACACAATCCTCAAGAAGTGAAATCTCTGGGCAAAACTGGAAGTGAAAGCGATCAGCAATTGTATGAATGCATGTCTTGAGTAGCAGGTTGTTCTGATTTGTTTGCAGGGCAGCCTGAATAGCATCCACAGGAATGCTATTCCACAGAACATGGGCAGCCACACTAAAAGCCCTCCCTGCTCTAAGTAATTGCAGACCAAGCTCCTGACATCTTCGGAACTTGCAGGAGAGACACTCCCACAGACCACAGTGATCTACTTGGTGTATAAAGGATAAGGGAGTCTCTCAAGTAACCTGGTCCTGAGCCTTTATGTTAGTTCCAGAACCTTGGACTTGCCCCCAGAATGGATTTACAGCCAGTGCAAATCCCACAAGCAAGTTGTTTTATGCTGGGAGTAGTTTGCCCCCTGCAAGCATCTGAGTCACAGTGTTCTGTGCCTGCTCCAGCCTCTACACCAAACCCAAGGGTGGCCACCCCTCCAGCACCTTGCAGAGATACAACCATGGTCCTGAGGTGTGATGCTAACACCTATGACTGGTGAACTTGGAGGGCCTCTGCTAGGGACAACTGATAAAACTAGTCTAGATGGACAAGTAGTCCAATTAAGGATAAGAGCAGCTTTGTATGCTCCTGTAATCCCGCTTCAAATTTGTCCTTTCAATCATTCTTTAAATTTCTTCTTATTGGTAGGATGTGGGGTTTTGAAGCATAATTAGTAGAGACAATATGACCCTCCCCGTTGATAGACACAAGCAAAACAGCACCCAGCTGACTGAGTAGAAATGGGTTTCCCTTTTTATGTCAAGGTTAATGAGGAATTACTCATTGCTGCCTGGGAATTGGCAAAGAGGGGGATAAAGAGCCACTGAACTTAGGGTGAAAGACTCTGCAGCCACAGACTCTGTCCCCAGAATGAGCCTAAAGCTTGCCTATCATTTCATAATTAGCCATGTGTTTGTTGCAACACCAGAGTCCTTTACAAGCTTAACACATTGCTAATTACATTAACTTTGCATACAAAAGGAGCATTGGGGAAGCCCAGATGGGCACAATGGTGGACCAATTACGAGTCCCCACTGTAATATTCAGGAAAGCAAGTCTCTGATAGCTACAGAGAGCATGAGGCCACTTTTAAATTAATGCAAACATTCAGAAACACAAGAGAGACAAACAAACATCACATCAATGACTGAATAGGTGGAAGCGACATTAGACTAACAAGGAGGGGATTGTGGCAGTTTATTCTTGGGAAAATAAAACCAGGGAAAGAGAATAATAGGCAGTTTGTTGTATAGTAACGCCTCGCTTTGGCCCACTTGGTAGCCCTAGTTCATGGGAAACCTGTCCCTGGACTGGAGCACTTCTGTATCACAGTGGAAAGTTCCAAGATGAAAAACTCCTCCATAGACACACAAAAATCCCCACACCTAGAAAACCAGCAGGAGAGGCAAAAGGAGCTTTATCCCTGACATGTTAGTCTTCTATGTGCAAAGAGGCAGGGATTCCACCCCTTCCCAGGAGCATAGCTCCATCCATCAGCCAGAGGAAATGCAGGAAATTTGCTTCCTCCCTGCCTGCAAAAAAGATCACTCCAGTTCCAACTGCCAGCTGATGTAGAGCTGCAGAAGCGGAGGCACACACTATCCTTTTCCGTTGACCAGGATACCAAAGGCTGCTAGGAGGCAACCCAATATTTGCTTTCCTCTGCCCACTCAATTCCTTTTGTGTCATGCCTCTTAGCTTGTGAGCCTGCAGGCACAGGCTATCTTGTAATCATAAACTACACATATACAGTGTTTAGAAAATTTTAGTGCTTTCTAAAAAAAATTTATAATACACAGGAATTAGATAATTAAGTGGCAGCTATCAGTCATGCTTGATGATTTTCATTTCTCATTTTGGTAGAGTTACAAAATTCATGGATCAGGGGAGTGCTGTGGAAATAGTGTATCTTGATTTCAAAGAGGCTTTTGAAAGTCGCCCATTATATTCTTGCAAGAAAGCTGGTGAAATGTGAGTTGAACGAGGTAACTGTTAGGTGGATTTGTAGCTGGTTACCAACCAGATAAAGGACCCCTGGACGGTTAAGTCCAGTCAAAGGTGGCTATGGGGTATGTTGCTCATCTTGCTTCAGGCCAAGGGAGCCAATGTTTGTCCACAGACAGCTTTCCAGATCACGTGGCCAGCATGACTAAACCACTTCTGGTACAACGGAATACTGTGATGGAAGCCAAAGCACACTAAAACGCTGCCGCAGTGGTACCTATTTATCTACTTGCACCGGTATGCTTTCGAATTGCTAGGTGGTTGACTGACTCAAAGAAAAAAAAATGTCCAGTAGCACCTTAGAGACCAACTAAGTTTGTTCTTCATATAAGCTGTGCGTGCACATGAAAGCTTAAACCCAGAACAAATTTAGTTGGTCTCTAAGATGCTACTGGACATTTTTTTAGTTTTTTAATTTATTTTGACTACGTCAGAACTGATATAACTAGCTGCTCGTTCCTCCTCCTCCGCTGCCGACAGCGGCAAAGGCAGCGGCAGAGGCTGCGCTGTGCCTCTCCCAACGGCGGCTCCTATGCCTGCTCTTACGAGCGGCAAGGGCGGAGGAGAAGGAAGGAGCAGCCCAAAAGGGCTCCTTTCGGGCCGCTCGTCCCTCCGCCACCGCCTCACTCGAGTACAAGCCATGGGGGGCTTTTTTAGCATAAAAAAATGTTCTGGAAAAGTCGGCTTATACTCGAGTATATATGGTAATTCTGCAAGTTAAGTTTTATTCTTAATCCATCTTGGCTGGATTAGTCCCGAGTCCTACTGAGTTCACTGGCACTTCCAGTTGTGCACAGAATCGCTGTTCAATATGTATTTTGATTTAATCTTGACACCTTTAAGCTTGACAACTGCAATCCCCACATATATCTGATAGCAGGCCATACTTCTGGGTAAATAGGTTTAGGCTCATAAAGCACGAAATTTTGGCAACATTTATCCAATGTAGCCAAAGCAGAACTATTCCACATTTGTACCGGCGAAGCTCTTGACAGATTCTGCTGCTTGTTTTCCAGGTTGCGACTGAATCCAGCTTTGTGATTTCCCAATTTTCAGAGATTGGCTGCCACCCTGTGGCAGAAGGAAAACTCTGCAGGGCCTGCAGAAATGGCAGCCCCCCCGCCCCCCCCCCCCCGCCACTTAAGCAGAACTGTGGCAATTTGTTCTTTTGTTGGGAAAGGGAAATCAACATTCCACAATAAATCACAATAAAGACACACAAACATCCTCTCCTCCTCTCCTCTGACCCCTTGCAGGTCAGTCTTCCTAGCAGATCCATCAATAGAAATTTTAGGAGTGGCACAAATAAGTTTTTGTGAAGCCAGGTGCACAGCACTTTGCATAGGCCTTTGCAAATACCATAGTACAGCTGCCATACTTCGAGGTTTGACCTGAGGTCTCAAGATTTGCCTCCCCCCCCCCATTAACCATTAAAAACTTCCCTGAACAGGGCTGCCTTCAGATGTCTTCTAAAAGACATCTTGTTGCTTATCTGTTTGACATCTGATGGGAGGGCATTCCACAGGGTGAGTGCCACGACCAAGAAGGCCGTCTGCCTGGTATACTGTAGCTTCACGTCTCACAGTGAGGGAACCGCCTGAAGGCCCTCAGAGCTGGACTTCAGTGTCTGGGCTGGGCGATGTAGCACTGAGTTAAAGTCACCTAGCAGTATAATTGTTCTGTGGGCAAAACTTTTTGCATTGTGATGTTTGTGCACCATTAAAACCCAACCTTGCACTAGTGAATAAAGAACATTGGATACAGACCCTAGGCTGGGTCCGCTAATTCTAAGGTCGGCACAACCAACTGGTACTCATCCTTTCCCCAAGCTTCTCCCACAGCTATCCCAGAGCAGCATGAATGGCATCACCCGCCTGACATTTCATTGATGAACAAACAGCATGTATATGTACAACGTTATCGGATGGGTGTTGTCCTTACTGTCTTTTCAATATCTATTTAAGACCCCCCCTTTCCCAACAATACTTTTGAGTCTGTATCAATATTGAATTTGAAAATGTTTTTAATATGTGTTATTCTTAAGTCAGTTCAGGGTCTTAAATGGAAAGCAGTAAGAAGTGACAGGTCACTTTCACTGAACGGATCTTGGGCATGGCTGCCTTGTACTCTTGCACAGTTGAAATGGAAATGTACTCTTGCCAGGAAATGGAAGTATTTCTTCTAACATTCTAATCAAAACAAAAGCTTCCACAATGGTCCATTTGAGGAGTTATGTTCAAAAATGATCATCATGATTTTGTTTCCTCAAACAGCCATTTATTAAGAGAGGTCTCCTGACTTCTGTCAGCTCCAAACAATGGCTCTACAGAGAATTGTCTCCCATTGGGAAGAGGAAGAAGGAAACCACGGCAGTTAATTTTTGCTTCTCATCTAAGGAAGTATTTTACACGAATCATATGAGTTTTAGACAATCTATCATCTAACCTGCTAAATGTTTATATGAACACTAACAAAACAAGACACAGTTCTAAAAGGATGTCTCCTGCTTTTAGAATATGTTTGCATGGACTGTATTCATAGCAGCACCAAAGAAGCATCCCTCTTCTGACCATTTCTGTCAGGTTTAAGACCTAAAATGGCAGAATGGTTTACAATCGCCTTGGCTTTAAGTACAGGATGCCTGCAACTTGCACACATTTAACTGACTTGAGCACATGGCAAAAAAAAAAGGAAAAAAAAGAAATGGGGGGAAAGGGGGGGTTCCAAAAAAAGGACTTTGGCAATTGCACCCACCATTGAACCCAATGGGTTTTGACTATACACAGTTGTGTATAATTCACTTTAGGTGAGATCCCCAGAACATAACTCCCGCGTAAGTTGTGAGCATACTGTATGCCACAGCATAGCTCAGAAAAAGAGACTACCCTTTTCTACAGAGGTTACCTATACAGTGGTACCTCGGGTTAAGTACTAAATTCGTTCCGGAGGTCCGTTCTTAACCTGAAACTGTTCTTAACCTGAAGCACCACTTCATGTGCCGCCGGAGCACGATTTCTGTTCCCATCCTGAAGTAAAGTTCTTAACCCCAGGTAATATTTCTGGGTTAGCGGAGTCTGTAACCTGAAGCATCTGTAACCTGAAGCATATGTAACCCGAGGTACCACTGTATTACACATAGTAATAGGTTTTCTTAAAACTTCCCTTTTTTTCTACCACAAACTGTTTTCATAACTCCAGTACCCCACCATACAGATTTCTTTCATCATATCCCAACAGCAAATATACAGAATACCAAAATTTAAAAAACCCACTATTTATATTCAAGTAAATAAATCCACTCAACAGCAATCATTTGCAGTACTTTAGAAGTACTTCATATTAACCTTCTTGTTCAAAACATTCCTTCATCCCCATCTGTCTCGTAGGCTTGACAGTAGCAACTGAATATTCTGGTCAAAAATAAAGGAAGAGATACTTTTTGACTGGCCTGTGGTTTTAAAAGAAGCTTGTGCTGCACTCAGGAGGTGCTCTTTGCCCCATCCCATGGTCAGGTTCGCCTGCTGTGTAAGGTTCTCTGGAAACAGAAAACAGCCATATAGGCCATCCCCAGACAACAACACCTTCCTGGTGTTACACAGCAACACAACAAAATTCAATAATATTCCCTAAGAGCTAAATCAAAAACAAAGCAAAACTGTAGCTGAAATAAAACTGAGAAGCGTACAAAACAATTAGTTTTTAAAACTTTAAACCTCCTGCCACTTATGTCTTTGTAGGAGTTAATTAACATCTCCATGACAATGCACAAACATTTCACCATGTTAGCCCACAGTGTGATGCTGCAATGCCAGTTGTGAAATTCCCAAAGTTCTCTTTTAAGAGCAGTGTGGTTACTGCACAATCATTTTCTCTGAGGCCTCCTTTCAATCTAGATACACAAATGCTCATTGAGCCTTATTGGCATAAGCTACCTATGTTCCCAGGTGTGAGGCAGGGAGGATGGGAACGTGCTGCCCCAGGCCAAGCCAGATATTGCTTTTATTTGAAATCTGAGGCTGTAGTTGTTGTCATCTGGCCAGTCCTCCTTGCTATACAAAATAACTGGTTGGGATTTTGTACTGAGGGAAACTGTGGGTATTATTGAATGGCTTGTATGTTATTTTAATAGGCTATTATTTGATTATTTATATTAATATTTTACCATGTATTTTATGCATATTACGTATATCACTTTAAGATTCTCTTGAATATAAAACAATTAATAAGTTTTCTAAGTAAGTTAGTGAAAGCTAACACTTTCACACGTCCCTTCTACAGATTATTTAAAAGCAGGGATGCCTCGTCAAAGCTTTTGGTTTTCTGAGTATCTCTCGTTTACAACTGGCTGGGCTTGTTAAAAGATTTCAGTGCCAACAAGATTCCTACAAGAGGCTGAAGCTAACCAAGGCCTGCATGTGAACTGGAGCTCTGAAGTTACTTGCCCCCATTTTAGAGTAAGGAAAACTGGTGATGCAAGTCTCATTTACTTATGCAGAGGCCACATTAAGTCATAAGTACGGAAGAGCCCTGCTGCATCGTGCCAAAGACCCATCCAGGCAGACATCATAATCTCCAGCAGCCAGCCAGGTGCCCCCGGGAAGCCGAAAAACAGGCCATGAAACAACACTCTCTCTGCTTCTGAATTGCAGCAACTGCCATTCAGTGCATACTGCCCCAGACACTGGTTTTACTTTGTGCAAGCATATTGCATAGGAGAAAAGTGTCAACGTTTTCCAAATTACAGGTAGGTAGCCATGTTGGTCTGCCGTAGTCAAAACAAAATAAAATAAAAAAATTCCTTCCAGTAGCAGCTTAGAGACCAACTAAGTTAGTCATTCGTATGAGCTTTCGTGTGCATGCACACGAAAGCTCATACCAGTAACTAACTTAGTTGGTCTCTAAGCTACTACTGGAAGGAATTTTTTTATTATTTTATTTTATTTGTTTCAACCTTTTCCAAAGGCAAACTGTTCTAAATTCCAGGTGTCTTGTAGCATGCCACAACTGAGAACAAAACACCGGCCCTTAGGAAGCTGTAAAACAGATGAGAAACAAGTGTGTCTAAAGGAAGTTCTGGCTTTCCTTTTTATTGTCACCCCTCACACTACACATGAACGCCACTCCAGAGGGTCTTCTGGCCTTCAGGAGGTTTACAATGGGCTACAGGTAGGGATGGGGGACCTGGATAATCGAACCACCTTCACTCTAAGGCATGGGTAGGCAAACCAAGCCCGGGGGCCGGATCCAGCCCAATCGCCTTCTAAATCTGGCCTGCAGACGGTCTGGGAATCATGTTTTTACATGAGTAGAATGTGTCCTTTTATTTAAAATGCATCTCTGGGTTATTTGTGGGGCATAGGAATTCATTCATTCTCCCCCCCCCATATAGTCCGGCCCCCCCACAAGGTCTGAGGGACAGTGGACTGACCCCCTGCTGAAAAAGTTTGCTGACCCCTGCTCTAAGCCTACCTGCTAAAATCCCCATCAAGTTAAGCAACAGAGCAGGAGTGTTGCTGGACTCCCAATGCCCTTGACCCTCAGCCAGCACAGCTAACATCTGGAGGACCACAGGTCCCCCATTCCTACAGCCAAGCTTGAGAGCTTCTTACTATCATGATGAGTAAAAAGAAATGCCAACAAGGCTATTCTGGTGACTTATTTGCTCTCGCAAAGAACCAAAGTAGAATGGAGTATTTCTGCAATCTCCAGTGCACTGCACCTCGTGAGAATCAAGTCCTATTACATGATCTGTATTCGTGGCTGAATTCTGATGCTATTTTGTTTTGATTGATACAGTGTGCATTTATCATATACATTATTTGCATTAATATACGGTATATTGTTGTTCATTGCTTTTAGGAGCCTTGAGTTAAAAAGTGGTATATAAATAAACCATACCATACCACGAGTTTTTCAGATTTCCAAACAGCAAGCACAACAGTCAGTGTATAATGTCCATCTAGACATAGGTTTTCCATTCTGCAGAGTGGCTCTTCTGCCACCTGAAATAGCAGGCATCAGAAGCGTCAACACAGGAAAACTGTCCTGCAATTCCTTTAGGTAACTCTTCCCCCCTCCAGGATAAATGGAGAAGCAGCATTCATTTCCAACAAGGTGGCATTACATTAAGATCCAGGGTGCACAAGAGCCTCTGATAAGTCAATGGATCTTGACAGTAACTCACACCTACCACCACTTTAACTGTGAACACATACTCTGAAGAGTGCCAGAACTCTTTGTAAGAAAAACACCCAATTAAAATGCATTGTCCTTTTTGTAAAAACACTATTTATTGACTAAGTTCATACACTGACACAAGGGCGGCATTTCCAAGTAAACAGTTTGGAGACAAAAGGGTGTTTTCAACGGTGTTGTGAATAAGCAAAAACTTTTTTAAAAACCATGACTTCCACGGTCAGCAAAGTGTGTGTTAAGATCTCTGCTACAAGGCAACTGCTTTGAGGATTAACCTATAGGAATTAGTGCATATGCTTAGGTCTGCAGTTTATAGATCCCGCCGCAGAAGCGCAGCCAATTTCTGCACACAGGTGAAAAGGCTTCAGAACATGCAGAATTTATATACATATAGAGACTCCTTTTTAAAAAAAAGTACATAAAGTGAATTTAGTGCTTGTGAAAGGTGCATGGGAGCCTTTTCTGGCCACAAAGCCGCCTGGCTGGGGCTGATGGGAGCTGTAAGCCAAAGCACCCAGAGGGGGCCCACAAGCAGCAGAGGGCTGTCACCAAGTACAGACTTGTGCCAAGCTTTCCTTCTCCACAGCAGGTAATTCACCACACCAATCATATCCTGATGCCAACATGCTGCGAGTTTCTCCAACCTACATTACTGGTGAGCAAGAAAGCCAGAGTAAGATCAGGATATGAGAAAAGGTGTACTGCATGTCATGGAGGGAGGGGGGACTTCAGCACTGCAGGAGGGGGCACACCATTTGGGGGCAACAGCCCTGTGTTCCTTACAAAATGCAATTCCAACCTTGATCCCCAGCTTGACTGGAAGGCACCTATTGTTCCAAGGGTGGTTCACCTACACCAATACGGTTCTTTGTACCCAATCTGGAAATTAGGGCTTTAACACATGCACATCTAAGCATCCTTAGTTCCTTGTTTCAGAATATCCATCTGTTTCAGAAGCGCAGCCATTCCAGACCAAATATAAAAAGCCCTCTGGCCAAAGAAACTAAGACGACTCAGGCAGTGTCTTTTTTGTGCCAAGGACACCTCTGCAAGCAGGGTACACCCAACATGGGAAACAAAAGAACCTCCGTGTTTATGCAAGAATCAATGAGGTCATGTTGATTTGCTTTTCTTTAGGTCTGGCAAGAAGTGTTTGACCATTTATAGGAAATTGCCATGCACTTTTATTATCAAATAAATGAAACAGTCATTTATAGCATGGCTTACCTGCGAGGGTTTTGCAGATAAACATTATAATTGTTTTGAGAAGTCATAAAAATATATATTATCTCTTTCCTTAACATTTAAGCATATAAATATTTACTAAGCATCATTTAGGATTTAAAAAAAAACCATGGGTGCTTCCTATGATGCTTTGCGATACTGCAGTATAGAACAGGCAGCTATTAAGTGTCAACGTCTAGCCTGGACTTGAAAATTCATTCAGCAGCGAGTAGTCCATTAGGTGAAAGTCCAGAGGCAGGCAGTTCTCCTCCTCCTCCTCTGAACAGGTTTTGATCATGCAAGACGTCATTCCATCAGCACTTTCTTCAGTCTTGGTTGGACTCCAAAACACACCAAAAATAAAATAAAATACTTTACTGTTCGGTCTTCTGCTCCTGTTTCCCATTAAGTTCTTGGTCAATTCTGCTCATCAGACAGAAGGGGGGGGGGGAGAGGGAAATGTTAAACTCTAATTTCAACCAGGGTGTAGAAATTTAAAATTCTTTGGCGGGGGGAGAGTAATGCTTACTACTTTGCAATTGCAGCAAAACTGTTAGGCACAAGTAGAGCAGCAAGTCCCCCCCCCCCCCAGAATAATGAATTAGAACTTATAAGGAGAATACAATGTGACTTTTTAAAAATGACAATTAACAGGAAAATGAAAAAATAGACCACAATACAGTAAGATACCCAGTGCTTTTTTTCTTTAAAAAATGTTTTTGTGTACTCTCATTTTCCTACTCATATTGAAATACTGCCCCTCAATGAGGCCAAACTCAGATTCAGAAAATGTTTGGGGTATGTGTACCCCTGCATCCCCCCAGGAAAAAAGCAGTGAAGATACCACTTCATTTATCCTCAATTTATTCAGACCAAGACCTACAACCACACAGAACTGAATCATTGCACGTGACCCTACTGAATGAAATCCCTAGTAGTTTGTGTATAATGACATCTCTACCTGTTAACTCAACATGTACTTGGGGTCACTGAGTTTGACTCTTGTGGCAAACTCAGGTTGGCCAGCATATAGTGGTGTGAAATGTTCCTTACAGTTATTATATCTAGATGTCTAGGGCTCCAAGAAAGTCAGCTTTATAAAGGGTATTTTTGCCTTGAAAAAAACAAATTTCTTAATTTACTGATAGGCAGCCAATGAGGCATGCCAAGTTTTGGAACTGTTGCATCCATAGCAAGTTTCTAACCAGTCTTGCTGGGACAGGGCTGCAGCTCAGTGACAGAGCACCTGCTTTGCGTGCAGAATCACAAGCATCTCCAGATAGGGCTGGGCATGTCTTCTGCCTTAAATCTTAAAGAGCTTCTGCCAGCCAGTGTAGGCAATACTGACCGAGATGAGCTAATGATTTGATTTGGTATGAAGCCTGTTCTCTTCCTCACATGTATTTCCCTCTCCTTTCCACGGTGGTGAAGTTTAATATTTAAGTTATGTCAGATTTTTAGAGGAAAGTCAGAAGCAGCAAATCAGAGGTCTTCCAAATATCAACGTTTGAAACCCTTCACTGCTCCAACAAAATGGTATCAAATCTCTTATTCCACCTCTCCCTGGTTTAAGCTATGGTGAAGAACCTCCTCCTCCACAACAGTGGGAAGTTTATTGGGGGTCTGTGTGTTAAGTCAAAGGCCCAGTTTGCATGCAGCATTAAGTCAAACCATGGCTAAGCGTGAATGCATAAGCATGCAGATACTCCCATTAGAAACTGTGGCCGCTCTGCACCTTCCCAAAAATCAAACCTTAGCTGCAGCCCATGGTTCATCAGGAGAAAGACAAACTATAAGCACAGGTATGAATGCAAATGTTATGAAAAACCATGGCTTAGCTCAGGGTTCCACAACAGCAGCAGGACCAGGAGAGAAGCAAAGCACCTGTGGCCTTCCCTTGAGGACACTCACTCTCAGCCACGGCGTGACATTACATGCAAACTGGGTCAATGAATGGCAGTTGTGGAGGCAAAGACCAACACAGCAAATGAGCAGTGGATTTCAGTGAGCTCATTTTAAATGTAGTCCAAGTTTCATTTTAAGGGGAAAGGGCAGCACTGCTGGGCAGTTCAGACACCAAAAGCTGAGCTTTGCCTCAAAGCAATGCTGTGTCTGATGCAAAAACCTTGTGTGCAACCCATACAGACTAGCTGCCCAAATTCCTTCTAATGCTACAAAGGGTTGAATTAAATGTGGGAAAGCATTTTTGCAATCTGTTTCAGAATCCTGATGTACACATAGCCCCTTCCCAGGTTTATCCTTTTGTTTTGTGATATAGCTCTGAAGAGAGAGTAGGTCTGTTTTGCTAAGTAGCAAAACTTCTTTGCAAGGGAACAACCCCTCCCCCCCAAAAAAATCATCTTCACAAATAGGCATTTGGAATCGTTATACAGCATGGGCACATTCTGGATCAAGTGAAATTGTTAGTGGCAAGAGTAGCAGTTGGTACACTGGATTGGACGATATTTTGTGAAGGGAAGAAGTTGCTGAGATACGTTTATTAGCAGGCCATGCACTTCTTGAGCACCAGAGAACCCCAGCATGCATTGATAAGACAAAAGAAAAAAAGAAAAAGACATAGCAAATACAGGCACCACAAAGCCCTCCTCCCCTTTATGGTGTTCAGCCAGTTTAGACTGTGACAATGCAAATTAAAGCCATTTTGAACTTCAGTGACTGCTGAGTCAGAGTCACTCTCCACCTAGAATTAAGAATGTATTTTGCAGCAATTGCTCTCCAACTTCCTAAAGCGGAAAATTGTTGTAGTTCTAGGTTTGACAATTAGCACTATAATTAGACAGCAAATGCTTTAGCCTTTTGGCTACTCGGCTTCCTTCTGAAGCAACGAGCCATTTGCACAACATTATGTGAACAGCACAGCATAAGCTAGCCAGAGACACCCACACACACGGTGGCACAATGGGTGCATGTTCATTCATACAAGCAGCAGGCAGCCCAGCAAGCCAAATATACCCCAACATTCAGCACAGTGCAAAGTTGGCTAGATTAGATACAGCCCTGATCAAGATGTGCATATACCTTTTGGGTTTCTTTTTAAATTTTTCTTCTTCATACCTTAGTGGGGAAAATGTTTTTTTAGTAAATAAGATGCAGTTCCGTATACCAGCAAAATCCAGTTTTGAAGCTAACAGCACCTGTCTTGGGCAAGGGCTTTACGCAATAATGCTAAGGTGAACAAAAGTAAAGGCATTTAGTTTCTCTGTAGTAAAAGTACTATGCCTGCTGCAAGATCACTCTGTGTGCCTCCCTCCCTGCATGAAAAGAACACTCTGCTCCAGCTGCCAGTTGGATTGAAGAGATGAGGGGAGGCACACTCTGCCCTCTGCCCAGCACCACTGGGAGGCTGAACCCCGTGTCCTAAGAAGGCCATCATGGCAAGGAGGAGACCAACCTGGCCCCATTCATTTGGCCAGCAGAGGATGAGCTACTCAAAAACTTTCCTCTTCCCTCCCTATTCAGTTTTCCTTTTGTGTCGTGTCTACTAAATTGGCAACCTTGTGTTTTTTAATGTATGTGAAGAACATAGAAAGTGATAGGAAACACTACTATTATAAAATCCTTATCACATTTGTATCCTGCTCTTTCTCCAAAAAGTACCCGGGCACCCACTCCCTTTGTGAGGTAGATTAGGCAGAAAGAGAGTGCTTTCCCCAAGGTCATCCAATGAGCTTCATGGCTGAGTAAGGGTTTGAATCTGGGCTATCCCAGTCTGGCAACCAAGAGAGCCATTGTGGTGCAATGGTTAGTCACACAGCAGGAATCTCTCAGACATATGCTCTTATAACAGCCTTGGAAGACGGGGTGGGGGAGTCACTAGGAAACTGGCACAAGCAAGTCTCATTTGTAGGATCTTCCAAATTACAGTTCCCATACCAGATCATTTGCTGCCCAGCACTGTTTAGTCACTTTAAAACCATTAAGGCAATCCTAAGAGTTTTGGCATGTGTACGTGTCGTGTGAGTCAAAAGTAAGTACAGACCATCAATAAATAAGCTGTCAACCTCTGAACAAACAGAGGTAATAAACAGACTGTTCTATCTTCTCTGAGACCTGGGCTTTCTGACCCAGGGCACCTCCATCCCTACCATGCCCACCCCTGTCACCCTGTCCCAGTTGTGTTTCTTGGTCACACTACCTTTGCACGCAAGGCCAAAGGACCAGTGTTTTCTAAGTCCCAAGATGTCTTTTAGGTTCAAGGAAGTTCATAAGGCAATATCACTGGGTTATTAATGAGTAATATTTCTGTTATTTTCTTGAGCAGAAATCACAGTGGGTGGAGGGCTTTTAAAGCCTTGGGCTTTACATAGCTTACCAACCCTAAATCATATACCTGAGCAGCACATTTTACTGCTGAACTGAGATAGAGGCCAAAGTCCAGAGGGCATGCCAGAGGCAGCCCCCAAGTCCTTCTGCTCCTTCTGGAGAAACATGTCACCCTTCAGATGTGGCTGAACAACAACCCTTGTCATGTCTGACTACCAGCCATCCTGACTGAGGCTGCTAGGAGTTAGTCTAACAGCATCTAGGAGTTGTATAGCTTCCCCACACCAGCTCTGGCAGTACTACCAATTGCTGCGGGACATAATTATGCCTCCTTGCACATAACCCAACTTATACTGTATCTTCACTTTGACTACCAGCTGCACTGGGAGGAAATATTGGCTGAGGCAAGCATTTTAACTTTTTTAAAAACTCAGAGCGCAGTTATATACATGTCTACCCAGAAGTAAATCCCATAGAGTTCAATGGAGCTTGTGCCAACCAAGTATAGGACTGGAGACTTGGGGAGGGAAGCTGCAGACCTCATTCTCCACTGGAAGAGGAAAAGATCTACTGCTTCTCACTGTAGTGGCTCACACCACCACCACTGCTGTTGGCACAATGGTGGTGCTCCGACAGTGGTAAGGCTGAATATGGGGTGTGTTGTGGACATGTCAGAGATGGCAGCAAAGTCACAGAATCACAGAGTTGGAAGGGACCTCCAAGAGTGCAATGCAGTCACAGGATCCCAAGCCCCCTTGTCCCTGGACACAATCACAAGTGCACAAAAGGCCCTCAACTATGCCAGCTGGAATCACTTTTGAGCACAGGGGATAACACTGCTCCTTCAACCTCGTAATAGCCACTGTGAGCTGGCAGGGCTCTTCATATAGCGGTGTCTGTTTCCTAAAAGTTTGGATTGCTCTGTTACTGAGCATTTATGCTTCATTTTTGGGATTATGAACATGGAACCAGCAACCTACTGTTTTATGCATTCAGGTATGCCAACGTATTCCATGGGGACAAGTTCAGCCAGCTCTGCCAAAGTAAAGACATATCTGATTTTTTGGCTGAATTTTGAGCTAGAAAAAAAGAACAGAAAAGACACTGTTACTGTTGAAATGCTAAACATACCAGTTCTGGAAAAAATGAAGTAAGTATTATGGGTGTTACCTAATAAAAGGTTTTGTGATTGCCAGAAGTGTTCTAATGAACCAGGAAGGATGAACTATTATTAATGATTTCAGGTTTTTCCTTAACCTAAAGTTCAATCAAAATATTAAAAAGATGCAATCAACAAGAGAAGCAAGAGGAAAATAACAAAGCCTAGATACTAGCAGACACTGAACGTTGCTAATGCTCTACTCTAGGTGTAAGCCAGAAAGAAACTCCTAGTGAGTCCGGGATCAGCATTAGAATTAGACTAAAGTAGCAAAGTCACAGTTATGCTCAGGTGATTTGAAGAGACAATGAAGGGGAGTGTGTCCCCATACCTGCAGAGACAGGCTCTTGCCATGTTTCCTGGGCAGGAGATAGGAATGGAATGGAGAGCCATTCTGGGACAAGGGCAGAGGTGAACCCATACACCTGCATCCTCAACCTAGTTGCCAGAACAAAGGGGGTGTCAGGGACATTTTCCTTTGGGGGCTGTTTCAGGCCTCCAAACTGGAGCTTAGTCACCCTGTTATCCAAGCTGCTGAAGGAACGCGAGACACCTGCCTAGCAAGACATGCAAGATGGACACTAATGACATGTAGTATCCAATATGACTTTTCCTTCTAGGATAGAGAACAGAAACAATTCTATACAGTAGCTCAGCAGAAAAGTATCTGCTTTACACGCAGACGGTCCCTTGCATCCCCTTGGAGGGCTGGGAGGTTCCTGCCTTAAACTCTGGAGAACTGCTGGCAGTCAGTGTAGACAATACGGAACATCCTGGCTCAGTATAAACAGCTTTCTAGGTTCTATAGTCCACTCTTCTGAAAGTTTCTTCAGAACTATGCTCAACACTATGTAAAAACGGGCTCTACCACATTTTCATAGAAGGTTTTTTCTCTTCATGAGAACACGCCACCTTAAGCACCAGCACTATTCTGCCCTGGGAGTATGGAACCCAAATCACAAAGGATGTGACAACAGAGCTTTCTTACATCACTTGACAGAAGTAAATAACACTTTAAAAGAATTGTCATGTGTTGTGCAGTTGGCTGCATCTCAAATTCTTCTTACCGCCTATCAATCTGTTGGTAACACTTCCTGAGCCAGCCTAGACTAGGCATCTTCCTCCGTGTTGTTGCACCATTTAGGTAAACGATCATGTAGTTCTCTGCTACTAACAATTCTAGTGTGCCAATAACATACCTGTTTGGGGTGGGAGGAGAGACAGACAGTGAGGTTTCTTGTGCTATCTTCCCCCGCCTTATGGCCACTGCATCCCTCTCCTGCGCTCTGTTAATCAGGCAGCAGTTCCTTTTAAGGAACATGTAAAACTGAGTCAGGAATGAAAGCCAAAATTGTATTTGTAGTCTGAGAGGTCATCACTCACGCGCTTGGCATGAAAAAGGTCTCTAGGCATCCCTGGCATCTCCCACTGGAAAGGGTAGGAGGACTTTGGAAAAGCTAAGGCAGAAGCTTCTTCAGGTTGGGTTAAGGAAAGATCACCATGAGAAGAGGCCTGCTCAATCAGACCAATGGCCTATCTAGCCCAGCACTCTGGCCAGCCAATGTCCCCACAAGAAAAGGCCACAATGGCCCTCTCCTGCTGTCTGCTTCCACCTCCACCACTTGCAAGCATTCCGCCTCTGACATGGGAGGAAACGCAGGGATCAGAGGTCTGACTTGGAATAAGGCAGGTTCATGCATTCATCAAGTACAACTCACTTAAAGAGATTATCCATTAAGTATCTGTAGTTTGGCTGCCCGCTTTCCGGCATGAAGCAAACTGCAAATACAACGATTGCATTTAACCCATCACCATAATAACCTAGAAAGAAGAAGAAAAATCTAATTGTTATGCTTTTTCTTCAGGCATCCTCTCAATTCTTTTTTAGTGGGGTGGGGGACTGTCACTATTCTCACCTCCATGACTGATAACTTTCTTATATGGCTCAATTGCCTTCATATCCACCCTGTGATCTTGTTCTCCAATCCGGAACATCCGCCATCGCCGTTCCTCCTCTTTTTCATCTGATGCTGCATATTCTTGTAACGATCCTTTTTGAATCACATCTGTAGTTTTTGGCTTTGGAAGATCATCTGCTCAGAGATTTTTGTTTTTGTTTTTTAAAAAATTACAATACTGTTACAGTGAATCACAGATTAGACAAAGTAGGTTCATTGCTTCAAAAGTTCTGTGCCCATTATATTGAAGGAAGTGTCAAGAAACGTATCTACAAATTGTTTGGGTTGCATTTTGACTAAGCAGTTAAGCAGTGATTGTGCTGAGTTGCTTTTAAATGGAAAGAACATAGCTGTGATTCCTTTCCAAACCCGTAAATATATATTGAAGCTTAAACAACTAGTCCTCTGATCAAAGAAGAATCTATTTTGGTAAATCAGAGCTGTCCCCTGTAAAAGAGACCACAGTCTTGAGGTGGATATACCTTTAATCAGGCAATGATTACATATATGCAATAGGTTCAATACAACACTTTGATATTCCAAATCAGTTTGTGGGTTAGGATAATGCCCAAACCCTTTGATCAGTTGACAGCCCTAGATATCTACCCTTCACCTATTATTTCCCCATTGATTTTAGTGAATCATCTCAACACAATGATTAGTGGCAGACATGCAAAATAGAGATTTCAATCCAAACTAAGCAGGACTTGGGAAGTGTCCTGAAGAATACATCATCCTCACGGCTTTGTCAAATTAACTTCAGTAACACAAACCTTACCACAGAGGTGTGAAAAAACTACTGCAGCATGTTAGTAGTTTGTTTCCAAGACAGAGTTGTTAATGGAAACTATCCTTCCAGGAAAACGCAGACAGCCGCATTAAAGAGAAGAGAAAAGACAGAAACCTTATTCCAACAAAGAACAACTCCAGCCTCTCTTCAGCCCAGCAAACTGCAAAGTCTAAGTACCTAGAGCTGCAAACTTCTCACCCCACATTTGAAAAGCTCATACAAATAAGCAATATGCCACCACAGTCATCGGCTGCAGGATGCACCAAAGCTGAAGTCTAGTCTCTTGCTTTGAGCAACTGAATAGCTTTGAAAAAAGAGGCCCTTTTCTGAAATCTCTACTGAACCATTGGTACACAATTGATTCAAGTGTCATCAGTGTCAGTTTTGTACCAGCTGGAAAATCCTGTGCTGAGCAAAAATAACTTCTGTTCCCCTTCATATCAGCAGCATTTGTTTAGAAATTAACCTAAAGATGCCACTAGCAGCCTTGAAGCGAAGCGGTAGCTATGTCAGTTTGAAAAAAACAAGCATACAATTACAAAACAACTAACTACCACCTGCTTCCACCCTATACATTTTACTAGCCGGCACAGCAATGCCCACAGTGTCCTACCCCAACCTGACAGATGTGAGCAGGCTCTGGTTGTTGGGCCCTTAGATTCTAGCTTTTTTAAAAAGCAGATCACACGATCCAAAGTTCTGCCCATGCCAGCTGTACACAATTTGTTATGGAGGACTTTTATCATCCTTGCAAACAGGCCACAGCAGGCTACACTAACCACCAGCAGTGACCAGAAACCCAGTGGGCCACCCACCACACAGAACAGCTCCACTGATCAACAATGCTGACAAAAGAAACAGAGGAAATACATATGCACAAGGCTTAGACAGAGTCAAGTCTTACCTTCCCATTCGAACTCATTGCTATTTTCAGATGGTGTGTCCATATCATCCAGATCAATATCCCCGCTCTCATCCAAGTCAGACAAAATTGATTCTTCACTGCAATCCAGAGTTAAGTTTATATTTGGAGCCAATAGTTTCTTCTTAACTTTGTTGCCATTCACTTCTAATAAATTGGAAAGGGAAGTTTATTCTATAAGACATGTTAAAGCCAGTGATGGCCATATACCCCCACCAAATAAAGCTTAAGTTATTAAAAGAAACAGAATGAGGAAAGCATACTCCAAATCTATGTAAACCAAACTCAAACATTAGTAAGTGAAAACTTTTTTAAACAAACAGCATAAGCATTATGCTACAGTTTCAATTGCCCTTTTTAAAGAGGTGTAGCTAACATACTCTGTATAGTTCTGCAAACAGTTCTTTATATACTAATGCAGTGCTGAATTAGATGGAGCAATGGTCTGATTTAGTATAAGGCAGCCCTCTATGCTCCTACTATTTGACAAACAGGAGTCACTCAGAAGAGTGAGTAGTGGCCTTCTGTTACAGTTAAACAGTCAAAACCTTCCTACGTAAAAAATAAATAAATAAATAAATAAATAAATGACTGAAGATTGTCCCTTAAAGATCTGAGCAAGTAAATAGTATCTTCCATCCTTGAATATTTAATCCAGAGCACTTTATTTTCCAGTTTCATTTTCTGTCTGATTTACCCAGCATCAGAAGTGGCCAGCAAAACAGAGGGGGGCCACGGGGAATGCAGGACCACAAAATGGTGCAAGTATAACCCCCTGTCAGCCACCCATCAGTGGAGAAAAGGCACTTGCCTCAGCCACCACTGCACTTGCTCCCAGAGAAAAGCCATTTGAACATCTCGTCTGTACTGAATGAATGGGATGATAGATGCCCAATCCTGTTTTCAGGAGTGGGGGAGTGACCAATGTAGAGGAGGCTAAGGCAGTGCGAACAGGAACTGTGCAGGAACAGCAAATAGTTTCTCAGGCATTATTGATTCTTAAGGGGATATTTACCTACACCTTTACCAAGTTATGGGCACGCTGGCACCTGCAGGTCCCACATGGGTGACCCCTGGGTAAGAGTAGGAATGAGAAACCTGTGGTCCCCCAGATGCTAATGGACTCCACCTCCCATGCTGACTAGGGATTATGTGAACTGAAGTCCAAAATCATATGTAGAACCATATATTCCTTTATACTAAACTTACCAGGTTGGTCCCCTCTTTCAGCAGGATCTGACATATCATCAATATGGTCATCTTCTGGCAGAGGTCTGGGACAGTAAAAAACAAAGAGGAAACAATGAGGAATAGTGCTCAGTAGAGATTGGGGGGGGGAACCCAGTAGAAAAATCTTTCCTCACCCCCCTCCATCTTTCACATCTCTATCAGTGCCCAATCACTTCTTACACAGCATCCAGACACCAGCTTTGGGTGGATCTGTAGCTGACTGACTGACTGAACCCAAAGAGTACTCTTAATGGTTCCTCATCAACCTGGAAAAAAGTGACAAGTGGTTCTGCAGGGTTCTGTCCTGGGCCTGTTGTTGTTCAACATCTTAAAAAACAACTTGGATGAAGGAATTAAGGGGATGCTCATCAAATTTGCAGATGACACCAAATTGGGAGGGGTAGCTAATGCCGCAGAAGACAGAATCAGAATTCAAAATAACCCTAACAGACTGGAGAACTGGGTGCAAGCTAGCAAAATTAATTTCAAGAGGGACAAATGTAAGGCTCTGCATTTAGGCAGGAAAAACCAGATGCACAAATATAGGATGGGGGGCACCTGGGTTACTAGGAGCACATGTGAAAAGCATCTAGGGGTCTTAGTGGACCACAAGCTGAACATGAGTCAATAGGATGGGCAGCAAAAAATGCTAATGCTATTCTAGGCTGCATCAAGAGTAGTGTCCAGATCAAGGGATGTAATAGTACCACTCTATTCTGCCTTGGTCAGACCACATCTGGAATACTGCGTTCAATTCTGGGCACCACAATTTAAGGAGGATATTGACAATCTGGAACATGTGCAGAGGAGGGCAACCAAGATGATCAAGGCTCTGGGAACCAAGTCTTATGAGAAATGGTTGAAGGAGTTGGGGATGTTTAGCCCGGAAGAGGAGACTGAGGGAGATATGATAACCATCGTCAAATATCTGAAGGGCTATCACATGAAATTTGGAGTACGCTTGTTTTCTCCTGCTCTGGAGGGTACAACCAGAACCATTGGCTTCAAGTTATAAGAAAGGAGATTCCAACTAAGCATCATAAAGAACTTTCTGGTGGTAGAAGCTGTTCTACAGTGGAACACACTCCCACAAGAGGTGGTGGACTCTCCTTCCTTGGAGGTTTTTAAGCAGTTGGATGACCATCTGTCATGAATGCTTTAGCTAAGATTCTTGCATTGTAGGGGTTGGACTAGATGACCCTTGGGTTCCCTTCTCACTCTACAATTCTACAAAATGTGACACAAGCCCCAAAGAGTTAGCAACTGGGATTTAACCAACCCTTGTGGTAGTCAGTGAGCAAGCTAGGCACACACCAAATTGTGTGCTGCAAAGTGCTGCAGAAAATTCAGCCTGATGAGTCACAGAAGGATTCCTATTTTTAAAAAAATCATAACCTGTACCTAGATGGCCCATCAAGGTGGCTGAATGTCTGCACACTGGCATTCCAACTCTAAGGGCTAAAGAGCTGCAACAGCTGGTGAGCAGCTTGCATCAGCCTTGGCAGTGCCAGACCATCCTGCAGTAAGAAAGCATGTCCTGCCCATTATATCAGGTGAGGAGAGTTGCAGGGCAGGACAGAAAATAGAGCAGGGAGGGAAGGACCTCAAATGAACAAAATGAAATGGAAAACAGTCTCCAGTGCTCAGTGGTGCAAAACTCTTAATTGTAGGTTAGCATGCTTTGGAGTTAAACACTCCTTCAGGACCTTGAAAAGTTGCAAGCTCTTTAAAATCTCAAGACACAGTTGAAAAAAAATGGTAAAGCAAAATTTTATTACCTCTATTCTGAACCTTTGCAGTCAGCTTCAAATCATGTGGCAATTGTGTATATGTACACAAGACAAGAATGTATGTACAAAGATAAACTGCACATTTTTCCTGAGCCTGCTTTTGAAATAATATAATTTAAATTCATAGCTGAATATGTGAAATATCCCCAACATAAAAAGAGGGCAGAAGATGAGGCTTACAGAGCCATATGAACACACAGGAAGCAGTACCTCCCTTGGCTACAACTGACAAACACCTTTTAAGGACAAGCCAAACTCCACTTTCTGAAGATATGTTCCAGAGCAAATCAAGCCCTGCCACAGCTACTCCTTACCTTGGAAAGTCTTCATCTTGCCACTCTTCTTTAAGTTCAACTCCTTCCATCCTCAGTGTCGCCTCAATGGCTGATGCAGATTCTACGTGATCCAGAATTCCTGCTTCGTGTTAGATCTTAGGCAAGAACTGCAAAGTATTTTGAAAGTGTTTGCTCAGCAATTGAAATTCCAGTACTCATGAGCTGATCTATCTTCCTAAGAATCACAGCTATAAGCAGATGAGTAACATAAATGAGAAACAGGAATACGAGGACACAAATCTGAGGGCGGAGGCAAAGAGGCATGGGTTTGTCTGAACAATCCCATAACCTACTACATACCATATTTTTCGCTCTATAAGACGCACCAGACCACAAGATGCACCTAGTTTTTGGAGGAGGAAAACAAGGAAAAAATTCTGAATCTCAGAAGCCAGAACAGCAAGAGGGATCGCTGCGCAGTGAAAGCAGCAATCCCTCTTGCTGTTCTGGCTTCTGGGATAGTTGCGCAGCCTGCATTCGCTCCATAAGACGCACACACATTTCCCGTTACTTTTTAGGAGGGGAAAAGTGAGTCTTATAGAGCAAAAAATACGGTATTTTATGTGAAAGTTCCCTAAGAGTGGCTTTATGCAACTTTTTGAAACTTTCTCCGCTTTTCATGGTAAGCTCCACTATCCAGGACATACTACGTATGAAGGAAGAAAGTCACTAAGTAATACCAGTCCTGAAGTATGGAGGTATTTAGTAAAGTCTGGTTTACATAATTATGATTTGGCAATGTATACCTCCCACGTTACACTGGCAACATCCCAAATGCTTTCAGTAGAAAGAGCAGCTTCAACAGTTCTTCCTGCTGTGGTCAGTACAGTGTCATCCTTTTACAAAAGACCAGACTTCCCTGCAAGTGTGAAGGATTAACATCCCACCACCTCCCATGGCACCTAGAGAGCCTTGGTCACCTGGGCAAAGTCAGCCAACCCACCCCACATGCACACACAAATTATTGCCAGAGATTTGGATTCTGCTGCCACAGAGTGATTTGAGTGTCTCCGAGCAGCCAAGCAGCCTCCTACCTCCCCACCAGCCTTTCCAGAGGAATTACCTTGGATACTGTTATGATAAGGCGCTTGGGCAGCTTCAAGCACCGGCAACGGCAATGAAGCTGACACACTCCTTGGGGGCAGGGGTTGCCAGGATAAGTCTGAGGAAGGTAGGTTGGCTTGACCAGTAGGCTAGGCAAAAAAAAGACAACCCACTTCCCAAGGAGAATCCCCAATAAAGTCCATTGCCTGGCTTTGCAAACCTTGAAGGAAAAAAATTCTAGCAAGTTATGCACCCTTTGGTTGTTTAGTCGTGTCTGGCTCTTTGTAACCCCATGGACCAGAGCACACCAGGCACTCCTGTCTTCCACCGTATGCATCCTTAGGAGAACAGTTAAAGCTGCCAACTAGGAAGCCAAGCTGAAAATTTCGTAATTGCTCAACTCCACCCAGCACATCACAATCAATGTTGCTTGCAGTTGACAGATAGTGTTTTGGCTGTGTGCCTTACAACATAACCCAACAACTTGTTGCTTAATAAAACACTCACTTAACAGCCTCCAGGAACAAAAAACACAAAGCTATAGCAGTGGAATAGCAAGTTATTCATGTACTTTGAATATATGATGTGCGAATTGTTTTCCTTTGAGGAACACATTTAATTCTTCACGAAAAGGTCACAATAGCATTGGTGGTTATTCCTAATAAGCCATAGGATTTTGACACTCTGAGCTGAGCTAACTGCATAGGCTATCACAGACAAGGTTATCAAGTTCAGTCACATTTAACACTGATAAATTATTATAGCTTGAGTTTTTGTACAAGATTACATAAAATGCCATTCTTAATATTGCAGAATTTCAAAACTCATATTGAAACTCATCCTAAGAAGCCAAGATATGCAGAACAAGTCACTTTGGCTCAATAACTGAACAACATATATCCTTTCTTGTGACACTGGACAAGCTCAAAAGGCAATTAACTATGCTGAAAAATACACATCACTAATCCCACAATTCCTACCATTGCTAAACCTAGTTCACTGCATAGTCATGAGATCTCAATTTTACCTTTATTTCTACATTATTTCCATCAAAAGCCAGGTTTTCGTTCCTTCCTTCTTAACCTGCAGGGTCCCGTCCCCCCCATTTCTCATCTTTAAGATCTCAAAATCCCATTCCTTTGTTTATGCAGCAGAATTGCATACAACCCCTGTCCTGCCCCATGTTCACACTTAAACTCCCAAGGAGCTAATTTTACACAAGCTTAATAGCAGGCCCTATTCAGCTCAGCAGGTCTTACTTCCAGGTAAGCAAGCTTGCACAGGATCAGGCTATGTGAACACATAAGAGTATAATCTATGGCTTTTCAAACTGTGGATGGGTATTTTGTTTTTGTCCCTTTACCTATGCTACATATTTTTTGTGTTTTTATATTGTAAACTGCTCTATGATCCTCAGCTGAAGGGCAGTATAGAAATTAAATAAATAAGTAAATAAAATGCACTTAGGACTTCAGTGAAAACTATTCAAGCCAATATACAAACCATAATTATTAGTGGAGGTTGTTACAATTTTATCCCACCTTTCCTCCAAGGAACTCAAGGTAGCTTACATAGCGCCCCCCTAAAAAAACCTGGTGAGGTGAGGTTGAGTGTGTGTGACTGTCCCCCAAGGTCACCCAGTGAGCTTCATGACTGAGAGGGGATTTGAACTCTGGTGTCCCAGGTCCTAGTCTGACAATCTACTACTTATTTTCTCAGTGCTCTTGGTTAGAACATGGGGAGGGCTTCTTGCTGCCCTCCTCGATTCCTGTTCAAAAGCTCACATCTGCATGCTAGGCTTGCCGCCTGTACTATATAATACAGGATTGTCAGGTATTCCAATGGAAAATGCTACATCCTGTATTGTTACAGTTTTGCCCTGTACTTCAGGTCTTCTCTCTCTCCAAGTGCACGTGTTGGAAAGGTTGTGGGAAAGGTCATGTATTTATTTAAGCTCTGGGTAGCCAAGCACAGACAGATTTACAATTTCATGTGTGCGCGTGCCTGCCTGACGAAGTCCAGAGGGGCATCCTGTGAGGCTGCAACAGACTGAAGTCACTTCAGTAACAGATGGGGGGGGCCGCCCCGCCCTGTCCTGTATTTTGCCAGAACAAAGGTGGCAACCCTACACGCTTCCTAGTTTTATAAGTATTTCAACGAATAAACAGATATACGTAAGCAATGACAACACCTATCCAGATTATGGGGGGGGGGTGAATGTGAAGCGACAGAGGGAGCCCCCCCTCATTTCCTGCTCCGAAGCTTCTGTGCGCGTCAAGTTCCCTTAGCCCCCCCCCAATTAAAACCCCCTCCAGGCGCCCCATCCCATAATATCTCCCCAGCCTCCCGCCCCAATACTCACCAGTCCCCCTCCGTTCGGGCCTGCCTTTCCTCGCCCTCCCCCCACAGATGTTCCTCAAGGGACGACCCTGCCCCGGAAGCAAACGCCACCGGACAGGAAGCGGCGGCGCCACCAAACAGCGGACGAGGCGAAGAGAAAACGGGGTTCTTCGACTCCGCCCCCTCGCCCCGCCCCGGCAGACGCATGCGCGGAACACGCCCAAGCCCAGCTACGCGGAATCTCGATGGTGGTCGAGCGACGCCCTCTTTCGATTTCCGGAGCGGGAGCTTCCGCTTCCGGACCGAGCAGCCTGAGGGAGCGGAGGGAGAAGAGTCGCGCGCTGATCCGCGTCGGTGGCCGTGAGGGGCGGGAGGCGCCGCGGCCTCCTCCTCCTGCAGGTACCGCCTTCTGCCGGGAAAGGGGCGACCCTGGCGGGGCGGCGCCCGGGAAACGGAGGCCTCCGCCGCCACGGAAGGCAGCGCTGCTGCTCCTTCGCTGCGGCGTCGCTTGAGAAGAACAAGAACCGCGGCGGCGGCGGCGGCGGCACCAATAATAAGTCTTGGTTGTTAAAGGGGGGGGGTTAAAAATGCCCCTGCTCTGCCCGGGCTTTCGTGTGGGGAACAGTCGCGCTCTTGAAACGTTGTAGTTCTATTATGGAAATGTTGTTCTTGTGCTGTTTGTTTATATGCCGCCTTTTCCCCAGGCCGGGACTCGGGCGCCTTACCCAAGTCGAAGCAGCACAGACATAATACTGTACAGAGAGCAAAACACGTGTGAAAAGTAACAGTTAAAAAGATACTGAACCCCAAAACAATATTTTTAAAAAATCTATTACAATGTTGTTTTACTGTACATTATTATTATTATTATTATTATTATTATTATTATTTAGATGCTCTGTGGTTTTAAAACAGGGGTGGTTAACTCCCAAATATCGGGGCAGGGTCCCCCACCCTAATCTTCCTCGTCATGCCCCAGTCTCCACTTGTTTTGGCAGAGGTGGAAATCTCTCATAGAATCATAGAGGGTCATCTAGCCCAGACCTTCAATGCAGGAATCTCAACACACAGTTCCCAATCCAATTTGAAAGCAATACCGGATGGACCCTACTTAACTTCCCGCATGTGCTAGCAGTTTTCTTAAAGCACCACTATGAAAAGAAAAATATGGTAAAGGGCAAATGTTGCTGGGGTCTTTGGGGAGATGGATATTGCCTGCTCATCCAACTCTGGTGATCTGATCAATTGCTGGATGTGTCTGGTGTGTGCAATGGCACACGCACACACACACACCAGGCAATCTGCAGGCATCAGTTGAAGTGGGTGGTGGCTGGTTTGGGGTGTGGGTGATCTGTACATGTGTTTGTGTGTGCAGGAAGCCTTCCACTGTCATGCAACCCCTGGGGCAGGTACCTTCAACCTTTTAACCCAAATATGTGTCTGGGGATCCATTTTTTAATCATAGAAGGGACCCTGAGGGTCATCTAGTCCCCCACCTGCAATTCAGGAATCGCAGCTAAATCATCCATTTGCAAGCCCATGGGCTAAACCCTGTCCCCGAAGCCTACCCCCCACCCCCGAAATGAGACATGACAGTAATGTATGGGTTTAAATTAGGCCACAACTTTATTGAATTTTAGGTGTAGGAACCTTGGCTTAGGCCTTGGAAGGTATCCCTCTCAACCCAACGGGCTGAGGACGCGCAGGGCAGTCAGGTACAGTGGGAAGAGACTGTAAAGCATGAACTTACACAGCATGCCCTCCACCTCACCAAAGCCACCTACTTGGCGCTGTTCTAGGGCCAGTGACTCCAGTAATCCACACTTTATGGGGCATTGCAACACCGCCGGGTGGGGGTGCATGAGGATGTCACCCCCCCATCTTGAAGATAGACTATAGGATACCGACCAAGGCCTAAAAACCACCAAAGTTGTGACGAATTGCTACGGGGAAGGCAAAACCTGCCAATGCAGGGGAATTCCTTCCCAGTTCTGAATACCACAACCATCTTCCGACCATAGCAGCGCCTGCTGACCTAGAAAACATGAGGTTAGCCTGCAAAAGAAGACCATGTTATCTTTTTAGGGAGGGTCGGGTGGGTGAATCTGGAAGGAAACCAAGTGAGTTCACTCTAGGCCAAAGGGCATCGGCCTTTTTTCCTGGCCCTCACCCCACCGCCAGCTGACAGCCCATTGTCCTACTGAGATGGGAGCAGGGTGATGGCCACCCTATAGGAAGGTGGGTGGCACCTGGCCAGGTAAGCCCGTGCAGTGTCGCAAACCCCGCCCACCTCTTGGGAGGGGGCGAGCAGAAATTGCTCCTGTTGTGACCCACCTTGGATCAGTTGAAGACCAGTACCGTAGAGGGTTGGCTAAAGTTTCTGCAGCCCTCCACCTAATTTTCCAAATCCAAATAATTTTAGGTTCACCACCCCTTTTTTAAAATGATAAAACTCCCACCTTTCTCATTTGAAACTCCACTGGGTTTTTACAGTGTGTGAGTTTCCTTGAGAAAGCTATGCCCAAGAAGGTGTTCCACAAATAAAATTATAAATAAAATAAAATTATACATTAAAATATTTATTCCTTTTCTTTTATCTGCCTCTTGGGGTAGGGCACAGAGCATAAAAAGAGTTATGTAATACAGTTTTTACACTGCATAATATCAAAGCAGCTGAATGCAGCTAAAAGCAAACAGCAGCAAGTGGGTTCTTTGAGGCAGAAGAAGCTCTGTGACTGAAGTGCTAAATGTATGCAAAAGAAATAGAATTACTTACTTCGTATGCTATTAAATTAGAAAAGCCACAGTACTACCTTTTGGTATTTCCAATTCGACTCCACTGTTATTCTTTAACATCCCTAACACTATTTTTGCTCCCTGTCTAGGTCATTAATTGTTATGCTGGATTTCCTAGGCTTTTGGTGAAAGTTGCAGCAGTTTCAGATCTGTGGATGGTCAACAACGGTTTTTTGCCCTTCTCATGAGCCATGGCCTACCAGCTCTATAGAAATACCACGCTGGGGAATAGTCTTCAGGAGAGCCTAGATGAGCTCATACAGGTAGACTGTAGACTTTTATGCCCTTGTAAGCCTGAACAGCCCAGTGCTGAACTTACACCAGGGTTATGTTCTGCCCCCCTGGACACATAAGTGGAATGAGCATAAGTGGGGAGCGTCCTGCTGCACCTCCAGCTCACAAGGAGACTTTCCTCAGAGCCCAAAGGGAGTATCCTCTTCAGGATCCTGGAACGCTCATGAGCCAGAGGTGTAACAGAGCTTTGTTGAGGCGCTTCAGGTCTCTCCCACACTTCCAGGTTTCTGGCACTGTACATGACTTGAACGCACGTAAATGGTGGGATGCTTGTATGAGCCACAACAGATATTCAAAATATGATTGAATAAAATGTAACATAGTGTTTATTTGCTCTTTACCTCCTCCCTCCCAAACCTCGCATCATGTGTGGATTTATAAGTAAAGATGAAACACATCCGGGTAATGGTAAGAGGAAATCCACAAAGGAAGATGGTCCTTCTAACTTTTCAGTGCAAACCTAACATTTAAAGTTTAAACTTTTTAAACTGAAAGCATAAGGCTTGCAATCTAGCAAACTCCGTGCCAGAAATCAAATGCTTATTTGCTAGTCTGGAAAAACTGAAGATGGGCAGAATACCCATGCTAAGACACACACAGACCTGACTGAAATACGTTAAGAGGGTAGCTAATTTTTGTATTGGTGTTCAGGTAAATATGGCAAATCGTTGGGACTGTACTGGTTAGAATTTAACAAGGGAATTTTCTATCTCTTGTTAGAATTGTGAAAGCATAATTTTCTGATAACTTTTGCTCAGGCCTTTTTAATTGGATTGATGTAACTGAGAACAGCCGCAAATTTAATTTAATTGTTAGTCTGCTCTGTTATTAGGATTGTGTTGTTTAGATAGTGGTTTAACATTTTTATTTAAGTGTTGTATGATTTTATTGTTGCTATGTTGTCCATTGTGTCCTACCCTAGGATCATTGATTTGGTGGAGGGAAGGATAGAAACTGAAATAATAAATTAATAAAGGAATTTTATAGTGGTGATTACAATGTTTCTATGTAATCAGAACTGTTATAACTTAAGATTTTGGAGAGATGAGCTTGTATGCAATATTGAATGTAATTTATCCTCAAAGCTGAATGTTTTTATTTTTCCTCTCCATTTTAGTCTCAGCAGATCACCCCCCAGCTTGCCCTTCAAGTGCTACTTCAATTTGACAAAGCTATCAATTCTGCATTGGCACAACGGGTCAGAAACAGAGTCAATTTCAGGGTAAGAAAGCTAAATGCTAATGAAGAGTAGCTAATGGCTTCTACCATTTACAGTAACTTTTGCTGACTTAAAATGGGTGCAGACTTCTTTTGACTCTTGCAACGTCTTCCTCTGAAGCAAGTTGGTATGGAAAATCTTCCAAGTTTTGTTTTTTTTAATTATTGTTAGGAATCAGCAAAAATGTGGACTCAGAAGAATATATACTTTGATGTTCCAATGCAGTGCAAAACTGGAGGAGGCACCTTGGTTATTTTTTCTATATGTTGACATTATTTTTTCCTGATTTTTAAAAAATGTGATTTAGTGTTTCATGTGAGCCGTCTTGGAAGGATTTATAAAAGGTGAAATATATGATATGAAAAGAAACCAGCATATGGACTTCGTGTCCTGAAAGGTGGATATAAATCATTATAACAAATTAGTTATAAAATGTTGGTGGCAGGACATGCAGCAGTAATGCAAAATTTCAAATAACTGGGTTAGCTTTGCTATATGCCCAAGGGCTGGACTGTGCATTTAAGGGGGGGGGGTCTAATTGTACTTCTCAGGCCGGCATTTGGCTGTTCTAAGTCTCTCCTTTAATCTGTGTGGGTGTTGTTGTTGTTTTTAGGCCTACCACAAGGTGGCACAAGAAGCACACCCTTCAGAATTACTCTGAGGCACATGGGTGGCACAAAATATGAGTGAAACAGTTCCAAAGAAGTTTTTCTTGAAGTTACTTAGATGTTCTTTTTTCTCTCTCTTCCTTCCCCTGTTCGCTCCTGAAGGGCTCCCTGAACACATACAGATTTTGTGACAACGTTTGGACATTTGTACTGAATGATGTTGAATTCAGAGAGGTCACTGAGCTTGTGAAAGTGGATAAAGTGAAAATAGTAGCCTGTGATGGAAAAAGTAAGTTCTGGAATGTGATGTGTGTGAAGATGCTGAGATCAAGTGGCAGAGTAGCAATAGATTATATATATATATATTGCACAAGAATTACAGCTGTTGGTAAACCCATGAGTCTTTGATGAGAAAATTTTGCACAAAGCATATGAAAGGCTTCTCCCTCCCCTTAAAGTATCCTAAAATACATTTGACCCATTGTTTGGTGGTGGTGCCACCCCAGTCATGAAACTTCCTTTCCTTGGTAGCACAGTACATGATGAAAATTTACTGACTCTTCCAACCATTCAGAGACTATGTTTGGTTTAATTTCAGTTATTTCAGCCTCTAAACTTCTTATTTCACACATGTTGTTTTTGTTTTACTGATGGTTTTTGATTGTATTTTGACTCTCTTTGATAGTTTTATTTTGATGTAAGCTTCTTTTGGGGTCATTTTTGAGTAGAAGTGTTACATTAGAATGCAAGATAAAATAAGACCTGGCTATTCTGGTTCTTGAATTGAGCTTTTCAAATGAGAGAGTTCCTCTGTCACCTGCCCTGTAAATCTCAATTAAAATGGGATTTTCTACCAGGGCAGGATTTTATGAAGAAAGGATGTGTTTGGGTTTTAACCTGATAAAAAGTGGCAAATGCATCTTTGTTGCTATTAAGTTTATATCCCACTAGTTTTTATTTCGTACAAGTTATGTACTGCTTGACTGTAGAAAATCTCAAAGCAGTGTACAAGCTATAACTTCTCAGCCAAGATGGCTTACAATTAAAAGCCATCACAAGGGGTACTAAACATTAGAGATGTGTGTGTAGCTCTTTCTTTTGGCCTCTGGCAGCTGGTGTAATAGTCCACCCAGCTCTAGATTTTTCCCTCCAGAAGAAGGTGGCAAAAGTATCTGCAGGTGGGGCAGGGGGTTGGCTGATGGTCAAAGTGCCAGGCCACAGACAGCACCTCATCATTTCATTAGGGAAATGCCCTTTAGACACAATGGGTATTTGTTGTGTAATTGCTGTGTGTGTCTAACGCTGTTTGGAAGCAGAATTTTAAGTGTTTACACTGCACTGCTTCAAATAAAGGATGTGTTGCCTGCCTATGAAGACCTGAAAGCCAACTGGCTTGGGCAATGGATTTCTAGAGTCTCTGTGGGGAAAGGTCATAGCTTAGCAGTAGAACATCTGCTTTGAATGCAAAAGATCCTAAGCACACAGCATCCTAATCCACAGCACCTCCAGTTAGGCCTGGGGATATCCCATCTGAAACTTTAGAACTATTCTGCTATACAGTGTAGACCAGGAACCTGTGGCCCTCCTCGTGGCCATGCTGTTTGGGGCTGATGGAAGTTGGAGTCCAACAGCCATAGGCTCCCCATCCCTGCTATAGACAATGCTCAGCTTGGTGGACCAATGGTCTGAATTGGTATAAGGTAGCTTTATTCAGTACCTCAAATCTTTTTATTTTTTAGAGGAAAGACCCTAGAGTAGAATAAGGGTAGACAACATGGTTCCTGCTAAGTGTTGTTGGACTCCAACCCTCACCAGCCCCAGCCAGCATGGCCATAGTCAGGGATTATGGGACCCATAGTCCAAAATATCTGGAGGGCAACACATTGTCTGTGCCTTGAGTAGGGCATATGCTTTGTATGCAGAAGGTCCCAGGTTCAGTCCCAGCATCTCCAGGTGTGGGAGAGAGAAAACCCCTGTCTGCCATGTTCTTTTTAAAGCAGGAGTGGGAAACCTCAGGCCCTATATAGCCCTTGGTACTCTCCCCAAGCCACACCTCTCAGCAGCCATTCTCCAAGCCCTTCTGGGGTACTTTTGCCTGCCTGGAATATGTCCTTGAAGTGTGACAGTGCCTCTTACTTGCCTGGATGGAGAAATGGGTGTATGGGTGCAGAAATATCTCCACTTCTGCATGGATGGAATTTGACATATTATACAGAGGAGAAGCTTCCATGCATTGTTCCACCTACATGTGTTTCTGGCCCCACCCACTACTGGTATGTGCTGCCCAACCCAACCCAGAAAGCTTCCCTTCCCCTGTGTTAAAGACAGTGAAGCAGGAGCTGACTAAAAAGTTGGCACCCTTGTATCTTAACAGCATTGCCTTTGGAAGGATCTTCTTACTTACAGACTTATGTGCCTTCTTTTTTATATTAAAAAAAAAATCAGCCTTCCTTCGGCACATAAATGCAATTTTTGTAACTTGCTGGTGCAGTGTTAGGTACTGAAGAGTTTCAGAAGGGTGCAGTCAACAGCCCTAGAGATAATGAGAGGGAGCCACTGTTACTGATTGCAGTGTTTCCTCTCTAGCTGCCTTCTGTTCAAAACTGGCTCAATCCATATGAAAAACCTGGTCTATGAAGTTTGTATACAGCTCCCCATACAACTTACACCAGAACTTCAGCAGGAAGGGTTTCTAGGTCAGTGGTAAAGTGTATGCTTTGCATAAGGAATGTCCCAGGTTCAGTTCTTGGCATCTCAACCTGACTCCCTGAAATTTTTTGCAAGTGGCAAGACACCTGGAGAGGTGCCAAGCACATGCAACAATTCTTAGATATATGGATCAGTGGCCTAACTCTTAGGGTAAGGTTTAGAATGAAATCAGTGAAAAGAATTGAGTAATGTAAAAATTAGGCACAAATCTCTTAGTTTCATTCAGGATTCACAGAAGCCTTGTGGAGCTCATAAAATTTGTGAGATCTCATTTTGGACTTGGAGTTGTCTTTAACAGCAGTCTCCTGTTTTAAATTGCCTTCTTCTCACTTCCAGATACTGGTTCCAATGCTGCAGAGTGAAGAGGAAGATGGGTCCCTGTGCCAGCAATGTCTTTAAGAGGCTGCAATTCTGAGAGAGGAGGGTGGCCAAAGAGTTTGTGGATGACCATTTTAATGATGCAGATATGAGTAATCCATGCTGGAATGCCTTGTGGAACTGTCTTGGCAGAAGCTCTGTAGAGCATCTTTTGAGTTCACCTAAGACATGAAGGCAAAGAATATTGCTTTTTAAGAAAGAGAGAGAAACATAAAACTAAGGATTAAATGTTGTTGCTTTTTGGTTCATCAAGGTAACTTCTCCAATAAACATTTTATTTAAAACTTTTAGATGAGTGGTAAGTAGACCTGTGTCCTTTTCTTCTGTGAATAGGAATCCCTGGATGGGTTAAAGGAATCTTCTATCTTGTGTATATACAATCAACAATGTACATAATGTCTAAGGATGCCCCAAATTGTAATTAGCCGGGAATCTACACAAATTGAGAACCCCAAAAAAGAGATTAAAAAGTTGGGGTCATCTTATACGCCGGGTATGAGTGATGCAGAGGAGAGCCTGCCCATTGCTGTGGCAGCGGCAGCGGCTCCAAAACAGTAGCAGCTGGCGGCGGGCTCTGCTCCGCGCCGGGTGGCTTTCTCTCAGCGTGGAGCTGCCCAGCGTATTAGGCGACTGGGCTTATAAGACGAACCCCCAAATTGCAGCTGCCAATTTGGGGAGTTATCTAATATGACCAGTCGCCTAATACGCTGGAATCTACGGTATTCTAGTTCTGTATTTTACCAGAACATACGGTGCAAACAGTTAGGCTTTGCTAGTATAAAAGGGTAACCACCCCCTCCCCTCACAGAAGAAAAGTGTGAAAAGGCAGCACTAATATAAGGAAAGTATGGGATAATAATGCCCGTTCTTTTCAGGCCTTGGAAACCCTGGGAACTATGTACAGTATATGGAAGGCACCCTAGAATTTACCAGTTGTTACAACCCTTTAGAAAGAGCCAATTGTGATGTACTTTAAACCTATGAACAAGCATAAAGTAAGACAGTGCAAAAAGCATGCATAAGCTAAAAACAAATTTGTAGCAAATCTACTCAGACAGTAACAGCAGATAATTGTACTGGCAAATGACATTCCTCAAAAGTCAAGGAGTTCCGTGCATCCGCGTTGCATGCAAAGGTACCAGGGTTCAGTCTTCAATGGCATCTCCAGTTAACACCAGGATGGGGAACCTGTGGTCCTTTAGATGTTGCTGGACCACTACAATAATCTCTGACACTATTGGCCATGCTGGCTGGAGCTGATGGGAGGGCACCAAGTTCTCTTGCCTGATCTAGCCCAACCTTCGGTATCCAGCAGTGGCCAGCCTGATGCTTCTAGGAAGCTCACAGCAGATGAAGGTGACAATCATTGCCTGTTGCTTGTTCCCAGAGATACACTGCCTCCATACATGGAGGATCCTCTTAGCCATCATGGCTAATCACTTAGCAGGCCTAGCCTTCCATAGCTCACTTTCCTGTGGCCTTCCAGATGTTGCTGGACTACAACTCCCATAATCTCCTGACCATTGGCTATGCTGGCTGGAGCTGATGGGAGTTGGAATCCCAAAACCTCTGCAGGTTGTCAGGCTGTGCAAAGCAGTCTCATAGGTATGCATGTGCTACAGAACTCTCCGCTTACCAAAGGTTTTTTGGGTTGTGGTGCTTCAGGTGTTGCTAGACTGCTGCTGCCATCATGTCTTACTGTTGGCCAAGCTGCCTGGAGCCCCTTGTTCCTCATTCCAGATGTACAGAACAAGTCTGTGGTCCTGCTCTGTTACTAAGAAAGTTGCTAACTTTTCCCTAACAGGTCAAGGTGTATTCCCTAAGGTACCATATTTTTCAGGTTTGCTTCTCCCTATGGCAGTCATGATGATCTACCTGTACTGCATTCCATGTACACTACATCATTCACACACCCAAAGCTATAATTGTGGTGGCTTAACTTGTACAAAAGTTTGCAGAAATGGTTTGGTATGCTCTTTTTAGTGGGAGTGAACCTAATGCCCTGAAGCCAACAAATATTTCAGATGCGCTGACCTTTTTCTGGTCTCCTGCCTTTATGAGCAGCCTTCCTCCTAATTGTGCTGTTGGAGAAATGTGAGCACACACTTCACTGGATAGAGGCTTAAAACCAGGGCTTCATTTTACTTCTAGAACATTGAAATCTGCCACAACGCGCTGCCATGGAGCAAATTCTTACTCCTTTTATGTAGATTACAGTGATACCTCGGGTTAAGTACTTAATTTGTTCCGAAGGTCCGTTCTTAACCTGAAACTGTTCTTAACCTGAAGCACCACTTTAGCTAATGGGGCCTCCTGCTGCCGCCGCACTGCCAAAGCACGATTTCTGTTCTTATCCTGAAGCAAAGTTTTTAACCCAAGGTACTATTTCTGGGTTAGCGGAGTCTGTAACCTGAAGCGTATGTAACCCCGAGGTACCACTGTACTGGTTTTTAAAAGTTTAGGTAGAAAGTAGCCCTGATTAACCGGGCAGCACATTTTTAAAAAAATACTTATTCAAGCATTTATAAAAATTGTGAATGGCAAGCAACACCCTAAAAGAGACATTCCCAATTCTCTCACACCCAGTGCATCACTGAAGATGTTGCCAGGGGCCACACATATTAAACAAAAAAAGGAGCCCTTTTGCCCCAGAATGCTTCTTTTTACTGAGAGCTGATTGTTTGTACAAGAACATGAGAACAGCCTGCTGGATCAGGCCAATGGCTCATCTTGTCCAGCGTTCCTGTTCTCATAGTGACCAGCCAGATTCCCTTGGCAAACCAGCAAGCGGCACAAGAGCAGTAGCTGTAGAACTGTTTGCTAGGCTGACAACCATCTCATGAAATGGGAAGCTTCCTGAGAACTGATACCTTTTAAGTCTTCTGTCACCATAGTTTAATGCCACAATAGCATCAAACATACTGCTGGTGCCGTAGCCCACATTAACCTGACACCACTGAGTGCCAGTTCTATTGTTGTCATTCGGCTCTTGTTCTGTAGGATGTAGCAAGGTGAGCAAACTGCATTCCATGCATGTGTGTACATGTGGATTGCATTTTTAACACTTTTGTTTCAAAATGACTGTTATTCTGCCCCATCTTACTATTCAGTTGTGTGATGTATGCTTGTGCTACAATCAAAGCTGCTGTGAATACAGTGTTCTGTGACTTGACTAATTCAGCTTGGTAGAAAACCAGTTAAAAGCTAGTTTCAGTTAAAAAAGAAAACTTTAACAGAGTTTAATCAGCCACCTTGTCCTCTCCCCTGACAAAAATCCCCATTTCCAGGGGACAACGCTGAACTAAATCCACCCTATTTTTAAACTCCTACTCGCTAGAATTGACGTGAGCTCATTAGTTGGGCAACACTTCCTTGTGCTAATCTAACAAGGACTTCTTGATTGAATTCCAAGCATTAGCATCTGGATGGGGACGGGGAGAAACTAGCTGGGGATATAAATTGGGAGTAAGCTCATGAGGGAGCCCAATCCATGAGCAAGATAGGAGCCACAGCTGAGACAGTGCCTCCATCACAGTGCCAACATCAAGGTAACAACTGCAGTTGGCCCAATGTGCAACAGCTGTGGAAAAGGCAAAGTCAATTTCAGGGATCATTATGAAAGGGACTGAAATAAAATTGTCAGTATCATAATGACTTTGTACAAATCTATGGTGGAAAGGGGCAGCCAAAATGGTCAAAAGGTTGGAGCAAATCCCCTATCAGGTACCATTACAACCTTGGGGGCTTTTTATTTTAGATGGTGAGTAAGGTAGTATGTGATAAAGCTGTACAAAATTACTCATGGTGTGATAGAATGTGGGGTCACCCGGACAAAAGACCCTGGTAGCCTGATGTCATGAAACTGACCAGAGGGGCAGCAACTCGGGACCTAATGGTAAGTGGCATCCAGGATCTGGTGCAAGATATACCGTATTTTTCCGTGTCTAAGACAATGTTTTTTGCTATAAAAAAAATTAGTCCAAATCTTGGTCACATTTTTAGTTGAAATTTAGTCAAAAAGCTCAACAACTTTGGGTGACCTCCCCCCCCCCCAAAAAAAAAGCTCAAAGTTGTTCTGTTTGTTGTTTAAAATACTGATTTCATAATTTTGGGTTCAAAAAAATATGGGGCATCTTATACATGGGGGCGTCTTATACACAGAAAAATACAGTAAGTGTTGTTGAGCCAATTGGAAGCACTGACCATAATACTATTAAACTAAATGCATGTAAATGGCCAGCTACCAAGAAAATCCAACATGGTCAACATGGTTAATGAGCAGAGTAGAGAAGTTCTTGGAGACAAGGACGCTTCTTTCAATACATTGACGTCTTGTCTAACTGAAGAGGACAAAAAGGAACACAAAAGTACAAGTGTTAAGCGTGCCTAACCCCAAGTCAGATTGCAGCCTATTTCACTGTGTTTTCTCTAGCTCTGTATTTTTAAGAGCATACTTTTTGATACTATTGTTCAAATATAAGATTACTTTCTTTGATGGCTATCCTGGGAATTCCCATCAGTGGGAGTTTGTACTGGACTTCCTGTCTTTTTATCTTGCAAAATAAACATTGACATTTGAGATTAACTGGTTGTTCTGACATCCCATTCACCAATGCGTTCTTCCTGCTTGGCTGACTGTGCTTGCATTGCAACATGCTTGATGGAAATCTTAAGAGCTGCTGCGATGAATGGCAGTTTTACATTGCATGAGCTGATGCTGATGCACGTAGGCAATGCAATTTCACTTCATCATCAACACAGAGATGTGACTGCTGTGCTTACTTCTAGGCAGGGAATCCAAGTGAACCAATGCCAAATACTAAGCCTGTATAATCAGTGTTATCATCATCACCCTCCCGCTAATAGCAAGCTCAGGTAGTTGAGTGCCAACACAACTGGAAACCAAATGGAGCCACCAGAAACAAGGAGGAAGTATAACCTGCTCAGGGGCATCCTGAGCTTTGCTATGACATCAAAACAACAAAAATCAGTCCAGCAACAGCATGCTCAGTGGTCTCCAGGAGTCATAGGATGCTAGCATCAGTTGGGAATTGGAATCCCAAATAACTGAGGACAGAGTGATTTGGCCTGGGATAGGGCATCTGTATAGTAAAAGCTATGGTTTTCCCAGTAGTGATGTATGGAAGTGAAAGCTGGACCATAAAGAAGGCTGATTGCCGAAGAATTGATGCTTTTGAATTGTGGTGCTGGAGGAGACTCTTGAGAATCCCATGGACTGCAAGAAGATCAAACCTATCCATTCTTAGGGAAATCAGCCCTGAGTGCTCACTGGAAGGT